AGAGATATCGGGAGCAGAGCTGAGCCCGGGAAGAAGGGAGGGGTGGGGGGAAGGTGTTCTCAAGATGTGGCAATGCTTCTCACTGTCCTACTCTGTTATGTGTTGTTAGTGTCTGTAATAAATGTATGTTCTTTTTTTTCTTCCCCTAACGAGTCTGCCTTTTGCTCGTGACCATAAAGGGGGATTTTTTCCCCATCCCAGTCCTATCTCGAACCCCAAGCCTGGCTCTCTGTCCCTTCTCATTGCCGGAGGGGAAGGGAGAGAGAGCCACTGCGTGGTGGTTGGCTGCCGACCAGGCCCAAACCACGACATCAGGTACGGTGCAGAAGGCTGAGATTTTTTTTTGGTTAGAGAGTCTTAGTCGTTTAACACTGGCCACTCCCGGAGATGAAAACTAGGTTAAAATTGTGTGTGTTACCTGCAGTAGGTGTTGCGGTTCTGTCTCTGCCTGTATTTTTGTGATTCACCATATGGAGTGGGATAAAACAATCGATTGAAACTGTTGCTGTTAGGTTTTGGTCTTGCTCCTCTTTCACCTTGCCATATTGTCTTGAGTAAGGAGCAGAATCGAAAATTATTTCTGATCCTTTTATCCAGGGCCACTAGAGAGGCAATCACTGCAAGTGGAGTTGGGTCTACCTGCTTACCCGCGTCCTCCTTCAACTGATCTTTAGTTCCATGTCTTGTCTCTTTTGTGCTTACCTTGACCCCATAACTGCATCTATGCAGAGCCTCATTTACCTCTGTGGACCAAAAAAATCTACTTGCTCACCAGGGTGCAATATCTAGGACCTTGTATGTTAAACTTTAAGCAGGGAATCTTGCTGCTTGTTTGCACAGCGCTCTATAAACTGACAGTATTGCATGCCATCAATGATTTATAATTTATATTGCTGGGAGGATGTTTGGTTTCCTCATATTCACTCATGAATCTTTTGATTCAAATGAAACTTCCCATAGTTAACATGGCTTCTGTCCTTCCCTGCCCTTTCCTTTGGTACCTTAGCTTTTCTTCCTTTGTCTTTGATTATCATTCCCTGTTTCAACCCTCTCTTCTCATGTTTCTCTGGGATTTTCTGTGATTTTTAAGAGGCGCTTGCATTCTTGAGGGCATAGAAGGCTTGGCGTATAGGGAGTTCCTGACATGTTTTTGTCACATCTTCTCCTGGGCAATATTTAAATACACTCTTCTTGCATATCAGCCTACAGAATAGACAGAAAAATTGGGGACCACTGGCATTGCCTGTTGGAGGAATATCTGTGATAATTCTGCCACGCTTCAGAGCTGTGATACATTAAGGCCGTAATTCTTTGCTGTCCCCTTTGCTACTTGTGTGTTGCTTTCTGTGTGTATTGGGGCACAAACTGAGGTGTTACTGCCTGGGGAGCAGTGTACCCTTTGTCAAACGTCAGCCAAAAAGCTGGTGTGTTTTCTGTCGGGAGGCCAGAGGTACGTCAGCATAGCCAAGAGCTTGTGCTTACTCTGCAGCAGCACACCTCGGGAAAAGGAATCGCAATGCACTGTCCTTTAACAGTCGATCCAGTGACAGGACAGCAGCCTAAGTCTTGAAAAAGACCACATGGCAGTTGCACCACCAGCTTTCTAAGACAGGCAACTGCCTTCTATGTGCTCCCATTTGACATCCACCGAAGTAGGAAAGTGGCACTTCCCTGAGTACAGTACGTAAATAAGAAACTCACAGGCACCGGAAGAGAGAGCAGCTGACAAAAATTGATAGATTATTTGGAATGGATAAAATTATGAGGTTTCTTCACAAGAATGATATAAAAGCAGCTGGTAAGAAACGTCACGCTGACTGGTGCTGATGTGAGAAGTCAAGGTGAGGTTTGTTTGGTTTTTAGATGGTAATTTAGTGATTCGATATAACTATAATTCTATCAGGTTTTTTGGTTTAGGGTCGTTTAGGTTGCTGTAAGTTATGTGGGTGTATGGGATATGAGGAGGTGGTAATCATTACAGGAATGGCAGAGTTCAGCATGTGAGGAACATAAAACTGTGCTCTATGTTCAAATATACAAAACTACGTTTGGATATATTCAGTGAGGCTCAGCAGAAGCAGGCTGGAGGCTGTCAGTGCATACTGATAAGTATTGACTGCAGCAGAAGAGGGAATGTCTATTTTACTTTCTCACGGGGAAACCCACAAATATTTGTATATATATATATACACATAACCTCTGTGATTACCAAACGCATAGTGATTTACCAACCCACAATGACATGTCATCCCTAACGATGGCTGTTCCCAAGTGAAATGTGTCTCTTACCTTACCTCTCTTTTGGTTTGAACAGAAGTCAAAAGATGCGTGATCCACATATGTGCCCTGAAGGGAGTCAGTGCATCCAAGCCAGCAGATGCATCTTGCAACTTCCAGAGGTGAGAAGCTGAGGAAGCTGGAAAGCTGTCGCTTTTATTTCCTTGTACCCGTTGATGCTGCACAGTAAGAAATCCCTACTTCAAATCTGGGAGTTGGATTATACTGCCAGGGAGACACTCCCTCCCTCAGTGCAGCAACTGAGCCCCTGTCCAGGAGACACGTACTTTAATTTCCCAGAGGGGGAGCTTCATTCTGCCAGCAAAGAGTGGCAGACCTTTTATGTAGACAGCAGTGGTGGTTGTAAAGGGTCTCTTACTCAGGTGTATCGCATATGCACACCTTCTCCTTAATACTGAAGACAAGTATGTTTTACTCCGTGACTGTGCTGTATAGAAGATAATATAGAAGCTTTATGGAGACCGAGGAGGGGGAGACAAGGCAACAGGGCTCAGATCACCAGAGGGAAATGTCTCAAAACTTTGAACAGATGAGGCTGAAAAAGAAGCCAAAATTGTGTCTGCCTCTGTAATTTAGGTCAGTGTTTTGTTGCTTCTTAGAATGAAGAAGCTGTTACTGCAGCCTTGGGGAGTATGGTTTCTTGTTTTTACAAGGACATAAAATCAATCTCATAGATAATTTCTATCTTCAAGCGATCTATCATTTGGCAAAATAATTCCATATTAAGGGAGAATAGAACGTGCCAAAAGGTGAAAAAATCTGTTGCTACCAGATGAAAATCCGGAGTTACGATGTCATGATTAGCCAGCATCCTAATACTTGCATCAAACTCCTCTCACGGCAATTCTGTGATTCTGAAAGAATACTCTGGAGTGCTGGGCTAAGTACAGCTGAGCCATAAGTAAGGGTTTTGGTATAAAACGAGCTGTTGATACTGCAGCTGCTGCTAAGATCTTCAGAGTATGTATGCATGGCACAGAGCAGTGCTGTGACCTAGTTTTGGTGAAGGAACTGGAGGCAGCTCAGATGAGTCTCACCAGCTTTGCAGAGAAGCAGGATACGTTGATCCAGGCGGACTGCTGTGGCTCCAACTTCCAGTGATACTTTCTCTAATCTGTGCTGTTCCGGTGTACGAGTTCACTTGGAGCTAGTCTGAGTACCCACGTAACACAGCCCTACCTTGAGTCAAGTGCATGCAAAGCAGTCACCAGATTTGTTTAGGTAAAGTCAACCTGCCATTTTGATGAATGGTTTTAATCATTGATGACTTAATCAGCCTTAAAGAAAATGCTTAAGAAAATTCTATTGCTGCGTAATTCCTGACCCGTGAATTACTTGGCATCTCACGTTTCAGATCAATACAGTAAAACAATAGCGAAAGGTGTTTTTTAACATGGATTTTATAGGAGTTATTTCACAGGCACTTGTGCAGATTAGGTTGTGTCACCACTGGCAGACCAAGATCCAAGTGCATATAATTGTAGTTCCAATAGCAAAGAATCCTTCAGTATAAACAATGTGGGTCATTAAAGCTCCCTAGCGTTGAATTATCACCAATTAGCAGCTAAGTGAGGTAACATCTCATGCTACAGACTCTTAAGGTATTGTGTGCAGTGAAGGATAGCTCTCGCTGTGTTGTTGAGACCAAATGGGCTGGAAGGCATAGGGAGGGGGTTGTCTTGGTTAAGACTCAGTTGAGTATTCAACTGCATTAAAAATTAGTAAAAATCAGGTATCAGTATTGCAGCGTTGCTGAAATAACAGGTTTGATGTTTCACCCTGATCAGCACTGTTATCTGTACACAGGGCACTGGGGGATCCTTTGGCATTGATAATGAGGAGTATGAAGCTATGCCTGTGGAGGTGAAGCTGTTACCCCGGAAACTCCAGTTCTTCTGTGATCCCAGAATGAGAGAGCAGGTGCTCCACGCAGCAGTGCAGTGAGAACTCGCGTCGAAGGGGCCAGTGATTACCAGGCTTACCAGGCTCCCCTTGAGGCATGTGAGACCTCACTAACTCGCATTAACCCCGCCAGACTAATAAGCCATTTGGCCATTTCTATGCACAAGGTACTTCCACTGGCAGTGGCCGATTTGGCTAGTCTCAAAGGGGTTAAAAATGCAAATGAAAGTTCTGAGAAATGCATGTTAACTTGCTTTTTTTTTTTTTCTTTCCCCAAAGAAGTCATCAGTGTTCCACTTACAGCACTGCAGGCTGAGTGCTGTGTGCCAGATGCTTCTGCTTTAATGCAATTGTATATTAAAGTAAAATGAAAGCACACTTGTCCTTGTCTTTTAAGAGTTTAGGTCTACTTTACCTATGTATAAATCTCACAAAACCTGGGATCTTGGTAGAAATTTGGTTTTGGGGGGAGTAATGCTAAGGAAGTCTGTGAAATGTTGGAATTGCCACATTAAAACAGGTAGTTGGTTATCTACTCTCTCGCAAAATAAATTGAAGATTGGTGATACAAAAGTTCAGATGAAGTTGAAAAATTCCCCGTGTGTATCTGGATATTTATGTTATTTTTTCTCAATCTTGACAGATTCAACAACACGGAGTTCCAGTTAATAATATAGTAGAAATATATTCCTTTGATCAAATTTAGGTATATTGCAGAGAAACAAATTGGAAAATGTCATCATTGACCCAAAGCTCTATGAAGTACATGCAGAAAGACTCCTTAACAAGCCAAATGAGTCTTTTTTTTTGTAAGTATTCCTTTTATTCCCGTGGTAGTATAACACAAACAAGGGCATCCAAGTAACTTTTATTATTCACTGTGTCTGGTTGCTCTTCTCTAATGTAAACAGTGCTCACCACTCCTTCCACAACATACATCCCCTTGAGCCTCAGTACTGTAATTAGTTTTGTTGCTTTTCTGAGCTTTTGTTTATAGCTTTGCTTTAATTGCTGAGAGGAAATACAATTGACTTAGGCAAGGTTACCGGTTGCCCTTCTTATTATAACTTACAAGTTCACATGATTCTGCCTTGCTTACTGGAAGGAAAAAAAAAAAAAAAAAAATCCTTATTTTTCTGATGCGATTGCTGTTTGTACATAGTCCCTGTGTTATACTGTGATCTAGTCTAAGTTCGACTGTTGATTCTTTGCTGTAATCAAAATAAGGACTCAGTGAATTGACTTCCAGCAGCTTTATTAAAGACTGCATCCTGGCTGCATGCTGCTGCAACAGCATCCTCTGCTGGAGACTTGCTACAGGAAAATGCTTTGAAAGGGGAAGTAGGGCTGGTTTTCTGCACTCTGCCAAACTGATTGCTGTCCTTCCCTTGACTATACTGTGGAGAAAGTAATTACCTAAGCTACTGGGGCAAGCGTTCATCCCTTTCCTGACTAAGATCTAGGGGAGTAGAAGCCTGCTAGTTCTTTTTAATAGTTACGCTGGTGCTAGGGCCTGTGTTGTGCTTGCTTTCTTCTGTTCTGCAGCAATTCAGAGTGCCCAGTGGACCCCTGGGTCACTCTCCGAGGAACACGTTGGCTGTGCTCTGCACTTTTTGCTTGCCACAGAGACACCCGGGACTCTGCAGCCACTAGCTCATTCAGAGTGGGGGCAGTTACCACCAACTGAGTTTTCCCTCAGGCTGATGCTTCCCTCATAAAATCAGCAGTGGCTTTTTTCTCAAGTGGCAGGAAAGACAAGGCAGCAGCCATTTCAAAAAGGTAAGCTTTAATTGTATTAAAAAATACCCATGTTTTAGTAAGCAGTTTCTCTACACAGCCACAGGCCTATGGGAGCAACCACACATCTGCAAGATGCAAACAACATCAGAGCTGTTAGAACTACAACCAGCCTGCTGCAAGGGGCGAGACGCTAAGATTTAGCTTCTGATTCATCTGTACCATTTCACAGGGAAAACGACTAATTCTCTTCCATTGTATCAGACGCACAGCTCCCATTGCAATTGATTCCTTGCTTCAGGGTAACCAAGAGCCTCCTTCAGAATTGGTACTGTTAATGCTGTTCTGATGCTCAAGTACCAAGGGTCCTGTGAGACACAGGCCGATACTTAAATATTTGTATCGGCATCAGTTGAGTAGCTTGGATAAATACCATTCATGTAATTTTCCCCTTCCTCTGCAGTTCAGAGGTCTTTCAGTGTGGGGTGGTCCTAGACCTCTGAATTGCAACGTTCAGAGGGGAGGTGTGAGGAAAACATTACATAACATCAGCAGGGGCTGAACCTGCTATCTGCCGTGTTGAGGAAAGGACTCGGGTCTCATGTTTGTCTGACAGCAAGACAAACAACTTTCTTTGTATGAACTCCAAGACAGGAGGCAGGAGTAGAATCCTCAGTCCCGCTCACAGAAACGCTTATCCTGGCTTCAACTTAACAGTCCATTCTAGAAGGGCTTAAAAAACTGTAACATAAACGAAAAGGAAGGATAACAACCTACTGATGGACCAGCCCAAGGCACCTGTTTATTTTAACCACAATTAAACATTCCCATTTGAATGGCGTGTTGCATTAACCAGGACCTGAAATCCTGGCTCACAGGCATTTAGTACCCTCTGTTGTAGACAGACATATCATTCTGTTAAGTCAGTACATTCCAGTCCCTCACAAAAGACATGTTGTCTTCTCCCATAATCACTCGACCACTAGCTTTGGGGGGTGGGGGGCAGAGAGGAGACAGCAACTAACTTAAAAGTACGAGCTGTGATGAGAGAATTTGGGTTGGTATGTGTGCTCTGTACCTTGAGTTTTGCACTAGGACAGAGTGCTCTTGCCCTTCTGCCTCCCAGAGCAAAGCATGCCTGTCCTTCGCATCGTCAGTCACCAAGAGGGCCACTGCTGCTCCTCGCTTTTTGCCCATTAACTTCAGCAGTTCTTAAAATTATAGAAGTATCACAGTAACACCTGCTTTACAGAATAAGCTGTACAGTAAGCTGCTTTCTCTTGAAAAGGTGACGGAACTTTCTTCTGCCTTTAAGGATGCTGGATAGGCAAGCTCATCTCCTGTGACAGACATGACCATGAGCTCTAACATACATTGGAGTAACTGCTTCGTATATGCTAGAAGAGAAGGTGTTAGTACATCTTGAAGACAAATCTGAAATCTAGTTCAGTAAAATGCCTTTCTCCTAGTATCCCTTACGGTTCTTGGTTGTACTTGGCTTCATGCACCTTGGCCTAGCCTTGCACTGAGAAGACTTGCACGATTTAAATATCTGGCGTGGTATCCCTTTGTTCAGATTTAAAACCTAGTTTTTATTTCTTTCCCAAGCTCTACCCTCCAATCCAGATAGTAAAAATTCATTATTTGATTACACGTTTCTACTGCAACTCCAGTTAAGATGCAATTAGGAAGCTCTTGCTCCCCTGTTTAAACTCAAGCATGTACCAGCTAAGAACCTGCAATGGCTGTACCGTGACTTGGGTGTCAGAAGGAACAAACCAGACTCTGTCTGCCAGGGCACAGGACGTTCACGGTTACTGTAACCACCATTCAGCCTGGGCTCTGATCACCAGCAACTGGCCAGAGGCATCACACCGAAGAAATTAAAGGCACCACTGTAAAGGTAAAGTACTTCAAATGGAAAAGAGTATTTTATAGTAATCAGCAATATCCTACCTTATGCCGCACTTTCCTCCCTCTTTTAATTCAAACTGTACCAAGTAACTGTCTCCCTTCCAGCTGCTACATTCAAAACAGCTACTATTAAGTGTCGAGGGGATTTTAACTGTCTGAGCTTAACTGTTTTACCCTGAATTATGTTACCTCTTGGAAAGATTCAGTTAAATTGGTTCCAAACAAAACCAGCCTGCTGAATGAGCCTTCGTGTCCCAAGCTGTAGCCAGTTGTTTGCATGATGTACCCCTCTATCAAGGACTTTCCACACGCAGCGACAATATAAGCAATGTCTGCTAGAAAAGGAGAGCGCGGGTGGAAGGTTCTTTTGCAGCAAATCAAACAAGGAAGGGTTAGGAGAGAGAGAGAAATCTCTTTTGTTCTGTTTTCTGTCTGCCAGCTTCCTAACTTACAGCAGTTACCTGCCAAGGGAGGCTGTGGAGAAGCAAAATTACAAGGAAGAGCAAAATAGGCTGTAGCCCTCCAGCTGGGGTGGCGCGTGGATGCTACTTTTACAGTAATCTGCTTGCTTTGATGCTTCTGCACCCACAGGACTGCTAGCAACTGAAGACCTAGTTTCCGGAAAGCAGAGGTTTGATAAACATCAAATAGTAATTTCAAGAGGTTCTGCTTGGTGGGCTCTAGCAGTGCTGTCTAGCAGACCTGATGTTCTGACAGCTTGTGACCATAGCGCTCTAATGCAGGGGGTTCAAAAGCCTCTGAGTGCAGAGGCTGTAAAATTTCATTGACTAATTAAAGGTTTGCTTCTCTTTAGTTCAGCAAAAGAACTACTGACATCAAAGAGAAGAGAAACTTACTAACAGCTGACCACAGCTAAACTATGTAGCAAACCTCCAAGAAAGTGAAAGGAAGAATTGCTGGAGGCTGGTTCCAGTTCCTTTTTTAATATCTGCAGGAAGTTAAGTAAGTGACAGCAATACAGTGCCAGCTAGACTTCCTCAGGGATCTTCACTGCAAACAGCATGTTAAAACTAAAGGTCAAGTTAGAAAAAAGCATGGAGACTGGGGGTCACTTTCATGCTAGAGGTGTCAGTTTGAAAACAAAGCCTTTTCTTAAGGAAAAGGGACTGGTCTTGCCCTTAAATGATAATCAGCTCTGCATTTTTTCCTCTTTCTCCATTTTTTTTTCCCTAACCTTCTAAGGATGATTATGCTACAGTTGTGGGCAACTGGCAATACAAGCAGCAACATGTTTTCTCCTGTACGAAAACATCCAAAGCCCTGAAAAAGCAGGCAAGGGAGCAACTGCTGAGAGCCAGGCAGGTCACAGGAACGTAATATGCTGAAGCTCATACCAACGAACTGTGCAGTAAGCCTCGCGAGGCCCCTGGTCCCCACCTCACTAAAGCCTCTGAATCCACAGCAAGCAAAACTACCCCTTTGCTGCAGATAACCTTCGAGGCAAAACAGGACCTGCCAGCTTCCTTCCTTCACAGAGGGTCTGCTCAGAGAACACTCGCTTCACCTGTTTTAAGAAGAATTTATCAGGTGAGACTGTGGTGGTTCAGGCTTTGTCTCGTCCTGTAAAACGCAGGATAAATGGATTACATCAGCTAGAGTTTGCATTTCTTACAAACTGCAGCAAGGCTCCAAGGGTGCTGAAGTCTATTATGGGAGAAGCAGTAGCTAATTAGTCATAGCCACAGTTCAGGAAGAACAGTTGGCCTAAAGCTGATGCTACTACTGGCTGAAGGATTTTGCACAAAGCAGTATGTCACACCCAGAACCCACAGTACCATCTTGGATTTCACACGGCGAAGGAATTACTAGTTACTGGGCTAGCCTTCCTGAAGGTAACCACTGGTCCTGCATGAACCGAATCTGATTTTTTTCTACAGCATACAAATAGGAAACGCTGTTCATCTAGTTCTGCAGCTTCTCTGCCTAGGAAAAAAGAAAAAAAAAAGGCTTGCTGGTAGACATTGCTTCTAGCAGCTGTGCCAGTCAAGAATACCAAACTCCCAGGGAGCTTCCTGCAAACTGTGAGGCCGTTGCAGCTGCAAGGTGACATACTGCTCTCTGTCTCACACTGAAAGCCAACGACAGCGGCGGGCAGTGCTGAAGGCTGGTCGACAAAAGGAGGCTCAGCAGACAGTGTTAAAGCAAAGGAGTGACAAGTACCATCTGCTAGAAAGGAAAGGCTAGTGCCGTTAGTTAAAACATACTTATTCAACCCAGCCCAGCCCAGCACCATCTGAGCTGAGGCTGGAGAACATAGTGACTGCGAGGTGGCTCAGTGATGGTGGTCCCTGTTAAATGGGAGACCGTCTTGCTGGTTTGAAGATTTTAAACCAAAGCAGCAGGTGTGATGCAACTGAAAATGAGAGGAAGCAGCAGGAGGGATTAAGCAGAGATGGTGCTCTTCTCCAGCTATGGTAGCAGATAGGTAGGTATAATCTCTGCCCGTTTGTACCACCTGAAGTGCTAGAAGTGAAACCATGCTACTCTGGTAAGCAAAGTCATAAGATCCCGTAGCACCCCCTTATCCCAAACTTGCTTTTGCCATTGAGGAGGAAGGGTGGCTTTATTCCAACTCAGCTGCTAGAAGGTGAGTGAGGCGTGTTTAAAGGAGTCCTGTTTGTTATCATTGGTTTAGCTGTCCCCACCACTAAACGTGGCAGGATAGATGTTTTATGAGACTGGGCCCCCACCAGCCTGTGCTGAAGCCCTCTTCAGTCCCCAAGTGGAAGAGGGGATGATAGGAGGATTTTCCAGTCAACCCTTGAGAGCTCAGTGACAGCATTTCACATTGGTCCCCATGAGACAAAGTGCTTTCCTGAAGTCTTCAGCCCTCAGGTATCCAGGCTAGGCCAAAACCTAGCTATCACTGGCAACAGTGAGGATTGGTGCAAAGGTGCCACTGGTCCTATCTAAACAAAAACAAAAAAAACACGAAAGAGAAAGGGAGACAAAAACAAACAAAAAAAAAAACCTGGAGCAGGTACTCATTGGGAAGTAGAGAGGGAGAAAAAAAAAAAAAAATCACATTTTGTTTTAAAATTATAAATACTTTCCATATAAAGTTACTTAAATAAAGTGAGATCTGTCCAGTGGCTGTGGTGAGTTCCAGTGATCCTCCGAAGCAATGTCTGGTAGTCTTTAAAAAGTGATCTTTGCTCCCCCCTCGCTCTTGCTCTTGATTTAAGTGCAGCAGGGGTTGTCAATGACGAGCATGACATCAATGCCATACACTTCCAGCAGGTCCATAAGGAAACTTCGATCCCCTTGGGGATCCAGGCCCATGCCTCGGGCGTGGTCAGCTGTCAGCGTCTTGTCCTGGCTGGCCGACACCTCCATCAGCGTCTGAAATATGCGGTTGTTCTGCTCCATGAAAAACCTACAGGATAAAGTCAGCTAACGTGATGGCATCGGGCGCCCCAAATGCTATTCTTTATCCATGCACTGAACCCCCTTGAATCACAGATCCCACCTTCTCAAGGTGACACTGTAGTGGTTTTGCATCCGCCCTATGGATCACCCAGAATAAACAAGGACGAAGCAGTGACTTTTAATTTACAGCAGTGCTTCTGTCTGGCTGATTTACAGTAGGCGTGTCACTCCTCAGAAGCAAGCCACGTTATCTGCTAAGGTTTACTTTGTGGTAACCAAGTGGGTACATGAGACCTGTAGCTCCCATAATGCAAAGGAGGAAACTCTTGTCATCCATCTAGTAAGCCACTGGGTAAATAAATTCTCCATTACTGGCACAGACCTGGCAAGTTCTCACCTAGTGCTTTCCTAGGAACGTGCAAGGCTGTTCAGAAGGAGCTCTGATTGCATTTGTGTGGCTCAACGATCAGAGCTCTGCCCTGACAGCCCTTCACACAGTTTCACCACATTACTTCTCATCGGCTGCAGACTAAGAACAATAGCAACAGGCAGTGAAGGTGGTAGAGGTTTTCATCAAATTCCCTACCTGACACTCTACACCCAGTTCTGGGTCCTCTGCCAAGCATAAAGCCAGCCCCATCAATGGGCCAATCCTTCACGCACAGGTCTTATCTCCACGCTGTACCTTCCCCCAGCACAATACAGTGCCTCCTTCCCACAGTCGTTGTCCTTTCCTGAGCCAAAGGTTCTGCCATGAAAAGTCCTATCGTGATTCTATTTTCAAAAACGGGAGGGGATTCTTGCATTTCTGATTTTGTTTTAAAAATTCCCTTCTCCCTCCCAGCCCTTAAGAGACCCCAGTGGAGACTAATATGGCTGCGCCTGGCTTCTCAACTGGAAAGGAAGGTGATCTAAAGAGGAGGAGCCAGTTTGGTTTTTGGATCCCTGGAGGAAGACAGCTGGCTACGGAATTATGCCAAACCAGTGCAACATGAAATCAGTGAAAGAGGCTCCCTAAACCTAACGGTGACCAACTAAGTATTAGAAGTAGCCACTCACAAGATGAAAAGGTCCTCTTCACAGGAGCTACAATCCTCGCCCACTTCTTGAGAATACATTAACATCTGCCTGAGAGAAGGGAGACAGGTTAATTGCACGTATCTACAGTGAACCTCCAAGCATTATGAGAAGACAAGGATTACAACTAAAAACTTCACATCCATTTTCTGGAGACCAGTCAGACTAATACTGTTGTCCCAGTATCTGAGGCAACAGGGTGGTCTTTATAAGGCACTGGAGTAGAAAGCAGCCTGTCTTCAGCTCTGCTACTGATCAGTGGTGAACCAATGGTGAGTCACAACCTCTGGTTCTCTTCCTGCCTTCTATCTGCTCTATCAGCTCCCAGGGGGAGAGACTCTGTGTGTGCAGAGTGCCCAGGGGCTCTCAAATCAGTCAGTTACAGTGGAACGAGAATCTCAAAGAGATGAGCTGAAGCAGTGGGAAACTTAGAAAATACTAAGACAAGAAGGGAAGTACAAAGCAGCAGTGTCCTCTCCATCCCAGGTCACACTGCTCTCCTATCAGGACCAGGAGCACCCAGATGTCTATTATTACCTCTGGTCATTGAGCCGTCTGTACTTCTCCTTGTCAGCATTGTTAATTTTCAGGAGTGGTTGCAGATGCTCATGATGCGTCTTCACATTCTGGTTGTCCACATAGACATCATAGAGATCCCGTTTCTCCTCAAAGATCTTTTCTGTTGTACCTGCCAAAATCCAAGAAGATTCTCAGAGCAGCGTGTTGCTTTCCCAGCAGACCAACTGTTCTCTCCTGCTTCCATAGTTCGTCATTCCATGCACATCCTATTTCTCATCAGTTTTATTCCACAGTCTGGTGTCTCAAGACATTTTGCAGCCTGAAGTTTAAAAAGTCACGCCTAATCCATCATACTTACAGGCCACATACGATACTTCTGTCTCCAGCATTTCTATGTCTGCCACATTCACATAGAAGAATGGTTTGGACTCTGGGACAGTTCCTCCAAGACCAGGCAGAGAAACATTGGCAAGGCAACAGCAGCAATACACTGCGGACAAGAGACGCTTTCAGTAGTCCCCCAAAGGCATTCTGGACCCCACTTACCCAGTTCTCCCACACGCTTCTATGAAAACAACAGTTAGAGCTTTGAAATGCCCCTGAGCACCAGAACTTTGCAAGTGGGGACATCCTGTTTTGGATAGGAAATAGTCAGTTCTCCCGTAGGAATCCCACGTTCTAGATCCTGCAAATTCATTCAGGGCTCTTACTGTCCTGTGTTGACAGGAACTGTCTTTGACAGTGCCAGGTATGTCCTCACCCGCAAGGCCTGAAGAAAAGCATTTTGTAGGAAATAGGTAAATATAGACTGAACTGTATCTTCACAAGGAATGGCTGTGATGGATTTTGACGACCTGCACGATGTCTATCCCCTCAGTACCCACGGGCGGTTCTGCAGTGCTTCAGCCTACTAGATCAGAGCTCTGCAGTGTCCCTGGAAACATACCTCTATAGCAGACAACTCCAACTGGGGGCGGTGAAAATATCAATATGCGCTTGCGCAGCAGGGCAAACTTCCAGAGGACAAGGATCTGCTCACCAAAGAATTTGATGAACTGAGACATGCAGCCAGCAGGGTGTGTGATCTGCAGGTGGAGGGAAAGGGAAGAAAACAGCTCAGAGGTGAAACAGGGACACACGCACAGATGCTAAGTCTAAATGTGGGAGCGAGACCAGCACACAGCAATGACAGAGAACTGCGGCTTGTAACAGTCCAAGCAAGAAAATCTTATCTAAAGCAGCCTGCAAAGCTCTGGAGTGACTGCTTACATAAAGAAATATGAGATACCAGCAAGGAGCAGCAGCATGCTGCACATTTCTGCAAGCCCCGGAGCACCCGCCTCACCTTCATCTCTGGGTACATGTATCTGTGGATGGAAGGCAACCAGTGGACAGGTTGCTGAGAGGTGGGGGTGCTCTTGCTGTCGGGGAGAACTCCTTTCTTGTCGTCATAGAAAGCCTCTAGATGGGAGTAGTGCCCTGGCATCTCCAGCTGGTGTCTGGAAAAGAAAGGAGAAAAGGGGAGATCTGTAGTGTCTCCAGGCAATATTTATTTAGTGTTTTGCCCCCAGACAACATCTGCTTTCCCAGCTAGCAAAGGAGCTCTGGGTGCCTCAGTGGCACAGACTTACCCAGGAAAGCAGCCAAAGCACCAGGAGTAACACCAGCTTTCAGTGCAGCCGGGGAACACGGGCAGGACTGAAGCAGGCAGCGAGCCGACGTACGCGTAGTACTGACCTCGTTTTACATCTGCTCAGGTAGGAACAGCTCTCTTTTCTACCATCACCATTTTCCCTGCCAGGCCCACTCAACACAGCTGAAGCACCCACCTAGCCAGGATCACCACTGTAGGTTTAGAAGCCTCTTGGTGAGCCCCTAGTAAAATGATTTTCAGAAGGAGAAATGGGGAACTTCTTGTTCTCTCAGCTCTCCCCTTGACCTTACGTCCGCGCAAAATAAGCAGGGGGGGTTTGGATAGCATTTGACTAGCCTGCTAGCAACGAACAGACTTCTGCTAATCAGTTCTTTGTCTCCTTCCCGTTGTGAACCTGTATCTCTTTCTGGAGAAGGAGTCATTCAAGGAAATTGCAGCTCAGCTTTGTAGCCAAATGCTCACTCGCGCCTAAAACCGCTCGCCATCGAGGGAAGGTTACCTCTCCCAGGCCAGTCCCGTTCCCAAGGGAACTTACCTGACCTGGTTCTCCAGGAAGTGCATGTACCTATACAGCAGGGTGTAGGAAGGGGAGAGAATCCCCACGGACTTCATGCGGGCACCGCGCTCTAACTCGCTCTCCACAGGCATGTTGGCAAAGCAGGCCAGGCCAAAACAGAGCCCTTTCCGGAAATAACTGGAGACAAATGTTTGACAGAAGGGTTGATGTTAAAAAGAGGGCAAGGGAAGAAGGTTAGCTGACCGCTAAAAATATTGACTGTGAACACAGTTCCTTCTTTAAGGAACCCCCTCAAACCCCACCCTCTCTGAAGGGCTGAGGACAAACCTTGGGTGTCCTAGTCTTCTCGGGAAGAAGAGAGGACATTTAAGGCAAGAGTCCCCAGGCGTTCCCACTAAAGCCCGTACCAGCCACGTCACAGGCTGGTGAGGAATGCAAGTAAGGAAAGGACTTGGAAGGCAGGCCAGCAGAGGATGCAGGACCCAGCTGTCACAGTGCCCTTTTTCCAAGGAAAAAAAGCCTGCAGTGCCTGAAGTTTTCTTAGTATAGTCTAGCTACCTAAGTCGTATTTCGGGTACCAGCACCCACAGAAAGCATACTCTAGCTGAGTGCAAGGGTTCAGTTCACGTGCCTTTGAGAAGGCAACTGTTATTCCTGGCCAAAAGGAATTGTGACACTGCAATTCGTTGCAAAACATTGCTGCATTGCGACACTGAGTAAAAGAATGGGAACGCAGAAAGTTCCTAGCTTATGTCTTGCCACTGAAGGAAGGAGCTAGCAAAGGAGAAAGTGAGCAAGGCCTGTTAATCACGTGTAAAGGATCCAAAAGCACTGGCAGAATTAAGAACCTTTTTCTTAGTCCAGTTCCTGCAAAGTCCTTCCCATTTCAGTTCTGCCATTCTTTCCCCTTCAGCCTAGGCCCCTGCTGGCAGTCCCAATAGTGGCAGTGCAGTGTGATTTGCCCAGTATGCATTAAAATTTGCACACCACTGAGAAGCTGGCCTGCCCCATTCACCAGTTGGCCTCCACAGCCAAAGCTGTCAAACAGCAGATCCCCACAGCTAGCTGGTACTTGAGATGGTGTTGAGAGCATCTGAAGTGTCTTTGACTCGGCTAGATGCAGTTTAGCAGCATGTTTTTGCAGGAACTTCACTTCATAGATGGTATTTTTCTTGCATGTTCTGAGTTGAGGGATGGTGGTATAGACGTACGGCTAAGAGAAAGAAGCAGTGATGTAGCTCAGAGATACTCACATGAAATCTGACTGGATTTTGTGGGACCCGCTTGCCATGGATTTGAATTCCACACCTTCCAAATCAATATCTTGGGGTAAACACCACTCCACCATGTTGCCTGCAGAGAAGCAAATTTACTTGGGTAAACTTGAACACAGTACTCATTTCTAAAGGGCAAACACCAGCGACAGCAAGTTGTTGCTTTTACGTCACCGGGATGCCAGTAACAGTGCACTGACGCGACTCTCGAACCACTAAACCATCACAGACAGTAGCTGACATACTATACTCCGCACATCTCTTGCAAATGTTACTTGTTGCAGCACAACACCCAGATATTGCAGGACTTCTGGAGCTGTTTCTGAAGCTGGTGCTATCTCCTGGGTTTATCCTTTATAAGCTTAATCACAGAGCAGCTACAATTTTACCTGACAGTAGATAAGCTATGGTATTAGCCCTGTTCCACTCGGGCTGTCTGTATCTTCTAGAGATCTGCTAAAGAGTACCTGCTCTAGAAAGAACCCAAAGTACAGACTGCTGCCCTTCAGGACGAGTTTCTGCGATAGCTCATACCACCATCAATAATGCCCTTTCCCTGTGTTTAGCAGGGCTGGTCAAGCAGGAACCCCTAAGCCAGCATCCCAATGATCACTACTTCCCTGGAATCTCTCGTATTTTGGTTTGGGGCAGAAGGAGTTAGCTGAAGCTTTATACGAAGGCTGAGGTGATCCAAATACCGCAACGTGTTTGTGCATGCTAGAATAAGCAAACAAAAAAGCACATAAATTACAGGCTAGATGGAGATTAGCAAGCATCTGTCACCTGCCAACCCTACCAGAAAGCACACAGTTGTTTGGTGGGAAAGGCCACCTGACGAGCCTGATCCTGGAACAGATGATATCAGAGAAGTCACAAGGAGTCCCTAAAGCCAATGAAGTCCTGCTCTGCTGCTGGCAAGTTTACCCCGGACAAAAAGGGGGGACTTCTCATGCTTCCCCATGCCAGCACTTCACCCGCCCATCTGCACGCTCCCACTGCACCGCGATGTGCTCCAGGTTTACCCACCGAGTTTCTGTTCCCTGTCAGTCTGCCCACAGCAACAGCATTGGAAGTAACGTGGCTTCGTTTTAAAAACAAAGCAAACAAGTGTTCTTCAGTATAATGCAATGGCAGATGCAGCGTGAAGACGCTTTCTACTGGTACAGTCCTTCCACCACCCTTCGGGGTAAGCATCCCAGCTGTGCTTGCACAGAGTACATTTGGGAGGGCCTTAAACTCAGCTGAGCCTTTTAAAGATATTTAAATATGAGGCCTTATTTCTGAAGCCTGTCTTTTGTGTTATTACTCATACTGTACAAGTATATGCATGCACTCTCGCACAGGAATTGGGCTTAGCTACTGACATTTAAATAAGCTATTTTTCGTCTCGCATAGATCCTGTCTTCAGCAGACCTCCCCCAACCTGCCTGGCAAGGACTTTGAGAAAACAACAGAGTTAAGCGTGGCAACAGGAGAACTTTTGCATCCAACTAGCCACTTCTAGTCCACAAGCAGATCTCTCCCGCAGAGCCGGGCTGGCTGGGGAACTGCGGCAGCCTCGTGACCCCGAGCACAGCTCTGGGCAATCGCACGGGAAACCACAGAGCTCTGCTCTAAAGCATCTTCGCCTCTGAGGCGTGTGAAAGGCTGGCAGAGAACGCCGGTGACATCATGTCAGCCTGCGCGGTCCCCTGTAGGTTTTGCATATTATATATAGACGTTGGCTTTTGTTGTTTGGGGTTTTTTGTGCGTGTGTGTATGTGCGTGTGGTTTTTTGTTTGTTTTTTTTTTTTTTTTTAAAAAAAAAGGTACAAGATCCTTCCTTGAAAGAGTGAGGAAGTCAACTCTTAAGACTGTTGCCTCCTAACCACAAAATTATGGTTAAGGCCGGATCTGCTTTTAAGTCTTGCGTCGCAAGAATCACTTACTGGTCATTACCTACAGATTAATAGATCAATACGCAAGAGCGCTGTCAAGCAAAGGAAACTATCTGACTTTGTTCAGTTTAGTCACAAACACTACTGTCAGGTAAAATATCCACTACAGAGGTGTTGAAGTGGACATGGCCCAAACAATGTCTGTTCTGCAGCAGTAAATAAGGAAAAGATGCCTTGAAACAGATCCTTACCCTCCGTGTAACCACAAAACCAACTCGCAGATCGCACAGCTATATATATATTTTTTTTTTTTTTTCCTCTGGGATCTGTCACAAGCAACCCACACCTGCACTCCTGGCCGTTCCTCACAGCACCTTTCCCTATGAACGTATGGGCGACGTGGCAGTCAGAGAACAAACGCAGACGTTAAAAAAAAAAAAAAAAAAAAAAAAAGTCAGTCTGGTGAAACAGTAGAGCAAACAAAGGAGAGACTTCACCCAGGCGCGACAGCGACTGCCAACATGCCCAAGAAACTGGAGGAAGGAGGAGGGAGCAATGCTGTAGAAAAACAGGAAGCATTGCCCTTCCCCGCATGGAAAGCGGCTCTCGCGCACACGGGAAACTTTCCAAGTGAGAGCCACCCAGTGCTGGAGAGCGGGCGAGTGGTTTCACTGAGAGTCAGATCTGGAGATCCCTTGGGAGGTACGTTCCAGCTCCAGGCCAGCTCAGAACCGGCTCTCTCAGTTTCTGGTGTGCAATGTTAAGGATGTTCTTCCTTTTTCTCTTGTATTTCGTCTCCCCTGGATTTTCACATCCTTACGGAAGTGATGATGGCACTAGCATTCGGTGGTCATCACCTGGCCCCCCGCACCATTAGATGTTTCCCAAGATCTTTAGGGTCCCCAGCTGTGCAATGCTACGTTGTGGCAGGACACAAGAAGCACAAAGTGTGACCTAGCTGCCACACTGGCTCTGTTTCTTGTATGGAAGAAATGCAGGACAGAAAAACAGAATATTTGCATGTTCACTGGTGCAAAACGTATTACTTCTCTCTCTTCCCTCCTCACCTCCCTCCATTGTTCACATCACCCTTTAAGCCAACAGGCTTGTGAGACCTCCACAAGGTTGACTATCATCATCTCCACCACAGAAAAAGGGCTAAGAAGGTTCCACCTCTTTTTGACTACGCTGATCCAAAAGAATTGATGTGGCTGTGGACTTTGTTTCAGCATTCTTTATCTCCCTCCCAAAGCAAAATTTATTGCTCTATTTTTTTTTTTTTTTTTTCACTTGCTTTACCCAAGACAAGTATAAGCCTCGGAAAGCACATGTGCTTGAACCTAATGCTGAGTAAGTCACACCTACCAGATGTATCCCCACTGTCGCCCAAGATAATGTTGGGTCTTCTGTTATTACCTCCCCAAGGGAACACCCACGTGAGGAAATTCAGCAGCCGCACTAAAGCCCCTTGTGACCGTGCTCTTTAAGGGGCAGCATTTGTGCAGACCTGATGCTCACGCTTTTTGAAGCGTCAGAGCAATTCCCAACTCATCACTCCCCGAAGGAGGGGACTTCCAAAGGGCAGGGAGAAAGGAGAAGATGCCACGGCTGGCTCCCGGGCTGCCACCGTTCTGCACTCAACTGACAGTTCACTTTCTGCATTAGTGCAAGGGCCGTCTTTGTAACAGCGGTGGAAAGAGCTCCTTCTCCAGTGCCACAAGGTTCACCGTGCTGGCGGTGAGGACAGCACCGCTGATTTAGAAGCTGCCTCTGGCTCTTATGTTTGGCCCCTCACACGAGCATCAGCAGAGTCCCAGGGAGGAGGCGTTTATTGAGGAGACGTTACTTGGCATAACTACCTTCCCAGCCACCAGCAGAAATTCTGCCTTTCACGTGCCTCCCGAGCAAGCTACCAAAGGGGCTCTGCTGTACTTTTCCTAGGCAGGATCGAGCAGGTTTCCAGCTCAGGCACTGACTGGAGGATCTCCTTTAAGTCACACACAAGGACCAGATAGCCTTACGAGCATTACAGAAGTCCTTCATGCCATCTGACGTGGTTGACCCAGGAATTCCCATCTCCTCTTTCCGAACCTAGCAAGTTCACACCACTGCAGCAGCTTCAAGTTCTTTTTCCCACGTCCCCACCCTCCGTAGGCCACTTTGCCTTCCACCTGTGAAGCTGACACTTGTTGAGGTGTTCCTCACGGTCCTATCGTGCTCCTTACTTTCAGCATCCGCGTCGAGTAGCAGCAGGAGGCTGAATCTTCCTGGACTTGACAGACTCCTCCAAGGCTGATGACACCCAGCATTAACTGCACATCAGATGCGAGAAGCGCTGTTTTCCAACTTTCCTTGGACTTCATTCAAAGCAACAGCTGGTTCAAACAAACTCCTGAGAAAGCTCAGCTTTCTGCCAACCAAGAAAATCTCACCATTTCATAGAAGGCATATGCTCTCAGATTGAAAGACAACCTGCTGTTGCCGCAGTCATCCGGACTCTTCCATGTTTTGGATACTTATGAGAAACACCTCCCCTTTCCATCTCCTGTTGGAAAGATGACATCCATTCTCATTTCCAAGTCTGATCAGTCAAGAGCCTCTGACTCTGGACTGAAGACACCTCTCCCTGGTGCAGCCTGAAACAAGCAACTTCTTGAAAGCCCTTTGGTGTTTCAGGACATAGTGGCCACGCTGCATGGCAGTGTGCATTTCTGACAGCACGTCACGCTCGGGTCTCCGTTCTCTTCACTACTTCTGCAGGATTTTCAGTTCAAGACCGAGATTCGGTCTTCACTGTCAGGGCCCTCTTGTGAGCACGATGACAGCTGCCTCCCCCTTCCACTGAAGAACCCCAACACGCTTCACAGAGCTTTCCTGTCTCTAGCACTTCTGCTCTGGATTTGCTAAGAAAGTGTCTGTCTGCAGAGGAAAGAAGCGCTTGCTCCCAGATCTCGATGCAAATGGGCTCCTGCACCTCCCAAGCTATTTCCTAAACTTCCTGATTGTACCGAGACTTTCAGCTATGCCTCACTCTTGCCTTTGCACCTCAGGTTGGTGTCAAAAGACCCAATGAGCTGTCTCGGGACATCAGACCCCTAAGCACAGTACCTGTGTCAACAGATGCGAGGCGGTTGCTAACTTCCTATCTGTGTCATAACATCCTGTTTTGTGGACACCGCCAGAGCAGCAAGACCAAGAAAACAAAGTGAAGAATGTTTTCTGAAATCCCGGTTTGCAGACTTGAAGTTAATAACCTGTCAGTAAGGGAAGTGCTAACAACGCCAAAGCCCCGGCGGTGCCACGGGAGGTGGATATGGCAACGAAAGGTGGAAAAGACATTCCCTTGCCCCTCTCCTCTGCCCTCCTGGATCGCAGCACTCCAAAGCGCTACGAGCCCCAGAGATCCCACCAGAGGCCAGCCCCTAAACACCCAGGCCACCGAGAAATACGCAGCCGAGCTGCTGCTGGGGATCATGCCCCGGGTGCCCGCCAGATTTACGCCCGCCGTAACCACCACCCATCGCCCACAGTCTGCCGGCAGGCCAACGCCGCGCCGCGGAGACCGCAGGCTGCTCTCGAGATGCTGCCAACAGGCTGGTGCCCCTCGGGCTGCGCTGGGCAGAGGCTCAGCGGGGGCGCAGGGGGGGGGGGGGTGTCCCAGTCGCCGTCCCCAAAATCCCGGTCGCGTGTCCCGCGGTGGAGCAGAGCTACGGGGTCACCGGCTCTCCCCGCAGCGGCACCTTCCTCCCGTCGCAAGTCGTCGGCGGGATGGGGGCCAAATGCCAACGCCGGCACTCCCCCTCCTTCCTTACTCCCCGTTTTCGGCAAACCCCCTCGGGGGACGGGCGGCCGCGCCGTGAAGCGGCGGTCTCCCGTGGGGGGGAGCAGAGGGAAGGCAGCCCGGCTCCCGCAGGCCGCTTTCCACCGGGCTCCGGCGACGCTGCCCTCCGAGGGAGCGGTCCCCGCGGGAGGAGGGATGCCCAGCAGCCCGGCCCCGACCCGCATCCATCTTACGCCAGCGGCACCGGGAGCCCCAGGCCCGGCCACCGCAGGCCCCGGCCCGTCCCGCCGCCCGCCCCCCGGCGCCCCTCACCCGTGCGGGGGTCGAAGGTGACCACGAAGACGGCCACAATCTGGTCCTCCTCCGCCTCCGCCCGCGGCGGCCCCGCGCCGCCCCACGGAGCCGCGCTCCAGCCGCCGCCGCCGCCCCCCGCCTCGGCCGCGGGTGGCGGCGCTGACACGGCGGGGCCCTCGGCCCAGAAGAGCAGCGGCGCCTCGTCGGTGCGCTCCACCATGGCGGCGGCGCCGAGCCGAGCCGAGCCGAGCCGAGCCGAGCCGAGCCGAGCCGAGCCGAGCCGAGCCGAGCCGAGCCCCGCCGCACCGGCCGCCGGCGGGGGGGGCGGCTCCGGGGCGGGGACGCGGGAGGACACGCCCCCCCACCACCCACCCGCCGCGGAAGGGGGCGTGGCCGGCCCCCCGAAGGGGCGGGGTTTGCCGCGGAGGAGGCGGGGCGTGCCGCGGCGGTCGGGGAGGCGGTACTGGCGGTGGGCTGGGAACCAGCGGGGGGGGGGGGGGGGGGGGTCGCGACTGCTGTGCCCTCCGCTGCCAGCCCCCCCGGGGGAGCACCGGAGGATTGGGGGGCTCCCCAAGACAAATGCACCGCGCCTCCCCCTGCTTCACCCCCTCCCGGGGGGGGGGGCAGAGCCGGCTGCCTGCCCTGGGTCCCCCAGCCTGTCACCCCAATGCGGACCGGCTGCCTTTTTGAGCAGGAACGCTAAGGGGGGGTCGGGGGGGACACCCACCCTCTGGAGGCCATTCCTAGCAGGTGAGCCGAGGGAGGCAAGCAGAGCAGCCTCATGGCCAGGAACGGGGCTGTCTCCTGCACCCCCAGATTGCTGCCATGGAAGCTGCAAGCCCCAGATCTGGAAGAGTCGGTGATACCGATCCAGGATATACTGAGGGGTGGGTGGGTGTGAGTGTGTGTGTGTGTATATAAATATACACACACATATGTATTTATATACGCGCTATAGAAGGATGTGAAACAGTTTCCAGAGGAACAGGGAGAATCAGCTTGAGACTGAAAGATGGAGACACAAGCAGGACCAAGGCATCCACGGGCAGCCAGCTTCTGTGTAATTACCATCCCCATTACGCTACCACCAATGTCATTAAGCATCATTAGGTTTAACTCCGTTCCCTAGGACTTTCTGATTAATTGGATTACCCAATTAAGCGGGCCACAATTAAAAGGAAGATATTGTTATAAAAGCCTTAATTGTCTAACTTCTGTCCTATTGAGCAGCTCTTGAGTGTTCAATACGCCATTAAGAAACTCATCAGCCAGTTTTCTCAACAGTGGGGTTTGGGTTTTTTCTCTTTTTTTGGTAACATTAGCATCCATTTGCTGTGAGCTTCATTACAGACAGCTCCAACACTGAGTGGGCATTTCGTTTCGCAAAGCCCATGCACAAGCTTACTTTGCAGAGCTATAAACTGGAGTAGGTGGTGTTCAGCAGATGGAGTTTTTCATGGAAGGTGACTGGTGAAGAAAAAAAACCAACAAACCCTGCACAATATTTTGTTACTCTATAAAGAAAAGTCAGAGTCTGCAAATAGTTGGCCACATGCTTCGCTTTAACCATACAGACAGTGCCAACCTTCATTTTGAGTAATATTTTTGAGTGTTGGTGATGCTAAAGTGGCATCTCATTTTTCTCCTCTCCTCCACCCCCCACAGTGGTGCTGGCACGAATGTCAGCCTGTCCCCCAGCGATCTAGGCAAGGGAAAGAAATCCCAAATAAAAAATTCCTCGGCCACCCGCGTGGGCTGTTTGTGGTGCTGAGCCGCTCCTGGTCCCCTTTGCCGTGCGGCTGCACCGGCGTCGCCCCGGCACAAGGGAGGGGACGCAGCGGGGAGGGCAGCCCGTGACGGGGAGCAGAGGCTGCCAGCGCCGGCTCTGAGATCTGTGAAATGTCATCACCCTCCGAGCTCTTGGCTTTGGGGGAAAAATCTCTCATGGGACAAGAGACCCGGTGGCACCAGAGCTCTTTACACTTGCTTTGGCCAGCGGTCTGGGCCTGCTGAGAGCACACAGTTTGTTGGACACGTGCAAAAATCAAAGGCCACGTTTTCTACTTTATTATTTCACCAAAATCAAAAAGACCTAGGCCAAGAGAGGATCTGATGATTTTAAGAGAAAAAAACCCCTCTCCTTCAGAAGAAAATGAACACATTTTCCCTTCATCCAAGGGCTAAGAAAAGTGCCGTCAAATCTTTGAGTAGTCCTCCAGAAAAAATATGAAATGAAAATGTGGTGGCTGTTCATTAGAAGATGCAGGATAAACAAGTTGGGCCTCCTTATACAGCAAGTCCAACTTTTCTCACTTACATATCACATTCCTCCCGAGAAAAATGGATACTACCTATAAAACCTGATGAAAAAATAAAAAATAATAAAAAATAAATGTTTCAGACAGGATTGAAAACTGTCATCTGACAGAGTTTCGTTGCTGAGTTACTGATCAAAATGTAGTTATGGGGACTAAAAGCATTACTTCTTCAGATTCAAAATAAAACTTTCCGATCCAAAGCTCCAATTACCAACGATCTGATGAATACAGCCAGATCACAGCGGTACTGAAGTGATCCTGTCACGGGATCTCAGCCGGCCAGATGCTGCCGAGTCGGCTTTTCACAGCAGAAAGCAGCCAGCGCCGGCACTCCCCGGCTTTTGGGCCTCAGCGGCTGCGTTGCAGGGGAGCAGAGCCCGGGCACAGCAGCAGCAGGCTCTGTGCCTGGAAAAAAAAAAAAAAAAAACAAACCAAAAAAACAAACCACTACAACCTCAGTAAAACCAATACTGAGTTCCTGGCATGGCCTCCTAATACAGCCTCGGTGGCTTGCATCAAATGAATTGCTAGTCCCAATCTTAACAGGCAACTTCAGAGACCTGTATGGCCCTACTTTTCATTCAAAGATCAGATGAGAGGGCTGAGTGAGCTCAGATCAACAAGTGCCTTTATTTTCTGGTGGGAATTGCCCTCGACGCACGCACGGGAAAGCACACGTCAGTTCGGACAACCCCCCAGTTCCTCCGGGCTGCGGCCACTCACTTCCAATTTCTGCACGTCCTTCTAGCAGCTCTCCTCGATGCTAAGAAGAAAGGCTGCCGTAACCTCATTCCCAGTTAGTTAAAGCTCACTCTGGACCCTCTTTGAAACGCAGGCTCACAAAGGCACAGCAAGATCCCTGGTTTTTACAGAGGCACAGTGAGAGGAGACAGCAGAGCAAGCTCACCTGCAGGGCTGCCTTCACCAAGGCAGCCAGCTTCTCCCTCCTCTCCCTCGGAACCTCAAGATGGGAACCCCTTCAAAGACTTCTGTATGGCCCCTAGCTCTCCCCCGAAGTCTAGCGCGTTAGAAATTAGGCTACTAACCTCTCTGTGCAGGCTGCGACGCTTGCCTAAACTAACACACATCTAAATGCAAGCAGTGAAACTCGGACTTAAGGAAGAACAGGGCCTCATCACAAGACTAATCACTGATACAAGCAAAGCCCACAAAGACTGGATCTCTGATGGGATTAACGTGGAGCGGACTGGCTGTCAGCAAACATCACCTCCCCGTAGGCCCTGGGAGGAGGGAAGAGGGTGCAGAAGCAAGATGATTCAGAGGGAGCCCTGGCTCCCTGCAGAGCTGGTTGCAGGCGCAGCAAATCCACATCCACAGCAAAATCCCTCAGCCACCAGCTTTCCTAGGCACAGGCAACCCTGCACGTGTGCTGCCGAGTCCCAGATGTTTCCCATTAGCAACGGCCCAGGTGTGTGGGGTGGTTATAAATGTGCCAGGGCAGGAGCAGGGTCTGTAGGGTGTCTGGTAGCAGCTTGGGGCACCCTCTGCTTTTACAGCGGTATGTAGCGTGGGTTCTTTTGCTTTGGTTGAGATGTTGAAGGTAGAAATGGATGAGGAGAGGCAGGTGACGTGTTGTGCTTTAGGATTTGGTTGTTCTCTTTCTATGGGTGATGAGAGTAGTGGGTGAAATACTAGTGGGTGGAGAAGTTGCCTTGGAGGATTAATAGGTTGCTCAGAAGTTGTATCTGACTTGCACTAGCAAGGTGAAAAGCAGACTGTTGCTATTACGTGAACAGTAATTGAATGGATTTATATTTGCTAATTCTGGGATGTTCTTTGTTAACCAAAGCCACCTGCTTCTGTGTGGGGGGGGTTCAGGGTGGGGAAGTACATGTGGTGATTAGAGCTGATGCCTTTGGTAAGGAATACACCGAAGAGTGGTTCATCTGCCTGTGTAAATAGCAATTTCTGTCTGTCTCTCCGCCCTTCTCTCTGACAAAGCAGGCCAGGATCGGCCATACCTGTTTCATATGGTGAAATGGATGACTGGGACAACAGCGATGAATTCATTCAGCGACTGGATTTTTCTAGCTGTGGCGAAGACAGCGAAGACAGAAGTGTAAATGAAGAGGATGCCCTGAGCTCGAGCCCCCCCAGGAGCTCTGAGTTCCAGAAGTGGCAAGGGAGCAGTCCTCTGCCAGCAACCCCTCAGAGAAAACTTGGTGAGATCTTCTTGAACAAGACAAAAGCCTGGGTGAGCCCCACCCTGAAGTCTTCTCCAACTGTGAGCAAGAACTGGGGTAATGCTGAGACACCACTGCACATCACCTGGAAAAAGCTGCAGCTATGTGACACCCCCCACACTCCCAAGGTAATGGCCTGTTTCTCCTTTATACCTGAGCGGGCAAGGTCTGGGGTGTTGCTGGGGCATCGCTGCACGGATGGGGAGGGGATCTGTTGTTAGCCCTGTGGGAAGCATTTTTTTCAATGTTACTGTTGTTAGCTCCTACTCTTCCCTTAAAAACCTGGACCATGAGCTCCTTAGTTATGGAAGGATTTTTTCTGTGGGTGTGAATAGAAACCTGGGTGTGGGAGCAAGGGTCTTGACTCTTTCCAAGCTGTTGTTAAAACCAATTAGTTGGCATTGAGTCAGTCTGACTTTAAAAAAAAAAAAAAAAGAAAAACATCAACCATGTGCCTTGGCTGCCCATGTGCTCCTCACACTCTGCTCAGGGGAGTGGACTTCTGTAGTATCTCTGTAGCAAGTAGGCACTGGGCTCCCAGAGGGATAAATGCAACTCTCTTCAAAAAGCTTGTCATTCCAGTGGGAGCTTGGAGAGAGGCAGCTTCCCTGTCTGCTCTGTTCAGCACGTTTTCGAACCAAGTGAGTTTTCTCTTGAAAGTTGGAAATGGCATTGTGGCTGGGGTAGGCTTTGTCTGACAAATTTGTATGGCCTCCAAGAAGCTTCTTGGCCGGTGATATTGATTCTGTTTTTGTGTGAAACTGAGCTGCTCAGTGAATATGGGGAAAGCAGGACTTTGTTCTCAGGGTAGCAAATCAGCACGTGCTTGTGGAAGAAGGTTAGTCTGTCTTCCTCTGTGTCACTGTCTTAAAATGTAACTTATCTACTGAGCTAGTTTCTTGGGAGAATGATCCCTACTCTCTGTGAAACTTCATGTATAGAATGTCATACAACTGCTTTTTGTTTTCTGTAAGCACAAGTGGAGACTTGGTGCCAGCTTCTCTGTTCCTAGATAACTTCTGTAGTGTGCACTGGTTTCTAGCATTCAAGACTTGCAATGAAATGTTCTTTCAGATCTCTCAATATTGCAGCTCTACTGATAGACTGGTTTCTCCTTTGCTTAAGTGGTACACAGAAGATCAGTCTTTTTAGTACTTCTGAGCTGGTATTTGACTTCTGATGCTGTGGAGAGAAGAATGATCCTCTAGCCACATATAACCAACTGTATGGCCGTATTTACTGAGGAATGGCCTGCCACTCTCTAGTGGAAAGGGGCCATAAATGGCGTCATTCCAAGAATTTCCTGCAGTGACCCTTTATAAGAAATCTCCCTGAATCTCATCTGAAAATAGGTGAGAGGTCTAGAATTTCTTTCAGGCCACATGGGCCACTGGTGTAATGTAGGCTGCTTTCACTGTGTGCTCTTGTGTAGATTACGTGTTGGCTGAATGCTTCAAGACATGCTGCCTGTGGTTTGTCACCTTGTAGCCCGTTGAGCAGCAATTGTACTAAATAAACAATTTCTTTTCATTGGCTGTCTTCTGTGAGAAAGGTCTTGGTTTCCAGGCGTGCTGTGAGGGGCCTAAATCTGCTTATAAATAAGGCTGGGAGCATTGCTCTTGGACCATCTGGAGGTGACAGAAAGGGTAAGAGCAGAGCCACATCTAACTACAGACAGATGAGCACTGGAGCCCCAGTCAGGATGTGTGGCAGAGGAGGCAGGTGATTGTATTTTGTAGACTTACCCACTCCTGGAACACATTGCTAGAGCTAGTTATGGTATCTGCCTTATACTGTATGGCAGCAGCTACTCTCAGATGATGTTACAGGAGACAAGTCTGCTTGATTACGAAATAGAGCCCTAGTAGAGCAGATGGGAATTGCATGCATACAACAGCAGGCTGCAATGGTATTTTAAATCCCTTTCCTGACTTGTGGGTAGACTAGAACATAGCCACACTTCTACAAAGCTTCTAGGCTGCTGGGTAAATTGGGTTTGGACGTATACTGCTTTTAATACATACAGATGCAGAACTTTTCTATCTAAAAACACGGAGGTGCACCCCAGAGCTTGAGAAAGTGATCAAGAAGCACTTTCAGGGTCATATGAAACCAGCTGCTGAACTTCCAAGTACAGTATAGAAACAGAGGGATGTCCCAGAAGTAGCTGTATCCATGAGTCGATTAGCATCAATCCAGCATCAACTAAGTGAATGCAGGCTACGGCGTGCAGCTCTAGGGGTTTTTTATCCTCCAAAACTTTCAATGAGAGAAGGGAGGAACTCTAGATACGATCCTGGAAACATATCTTTACTCCTGAGTGAGACTGCTGTTGGATCAAAAAGATATAGAAGTACCTTGATCGTCATGACGGGGGGAGTTCTGGGTTCCTGAAGGCCTTTTAACTAGAAGAAATAGACATGTTAACCTCTTGAGACCTTACACCACTCTTAAGGCTGAAACAAGTCAAAACCGAACTTATATTTCAAAAAGCTAATGGTTACTGAAGGGGTCAAATCACAGAAAATAAGCGGATTTCTCTGTCTTCAGATCAAGACTGGATGTTTCTCTGAAGTCAGGCTTTACTCAGCTCAAGGTTTTGGACTATAAGGTGAAATTCAGTGGCCTGTCTTCTGTGGGAAACTGAGCTACGGAAAATCCATGTGTTCCTTCTGAACTTAGACTTCTGAAACTCTGTTTTCTTCTGGTCGCTTTGCTAGTAGCCATGTAAAAGTATTTCTACCTATACTAATGCCACTTATTACTGGGGAACCAAAAGGAAATGTGTGAACTGGGTCTTCCACGCTAACGCAGCATTTGATGCAATTTCTGTGTCTGTAGGTAGGAAAGATGAGCAGCTGGCTCCTCTTGAGGACTGTGCTTGCCAAAATGGCTCTGCAGGCCTCACCCACGTGAGCAGGGGAGAGTCTGAAAAGGCTTAGTGAAGAATGTAATACCTTTTTGGAAGGAGCAAAAAAAAACCCAGTTAAGATTAAATTAGGGATGTGGGGTTTTAATGATTCATCTATCCTGAGGAAGGGAGCCGAGTTCTTGATTTGCAGGAGAGCAGAGATTTTATTCTGACATAGCAGGAACAAAAACATTTTGCTGGCTTATCTGCCACCTCTTTTTTTTTTTTTTTTTTTTCTTCTCAATACAGAGCCTGTTATCAAAGACAGCTTTTCCTTCACCTGGGACAAAGGTCCCACCCAAAGGCTTCCGACATCTGAGATCTACTCCTGATGCTGACTTCGATGATGCTACCCAAGCTTCTCTTGTCAACATTAATCCCTTTACACCAGAGTCGTATCGACAAATGCTCTTTCCTCTTAATGGCAAGCGGAGGACCAGAGAACTGTAAGTGAACTACTCTTAAATAATAGGCTGGAAGGAGACTGTTTGAAGGAGATAAGTCCAGGTACTAAATGTTTCCGGCATTACTTATTTGCTAACAATGAATCATTCACTTCTGTAGTATTCCTTGGTACAAAGCAAACATTAGCAGACATACAAAGGTAATAGAAATAGAAATAAAATCAATCATTTCCTTTTTTCAGAAATGTGAAGGATCAACAGCTAAGTTGAACACTCTGGCTGTAGGACAAAATTGTATCTCTTTCTTTCTTGACCATGGGTAGAGTGGAGCTTGGTCAGTTATGCACATACCTGCAACTTGGAAGGAATTACACGCATGCTTGCATGTAATACAGCTCTCAAGATGGGTGCAGGCTACTGTTGACCTGCAGAAGTTCTGGATCTGTTCCGGGTTAACCAAGACACAAACTTAGTTGAACACCTGTACACTTGATGTTCAGCTGCTTTCATAGCCCCAGCTGTAACATGCTCAGCTGGGTATCCCCCTGTGAGAGCACAGTGGAGCAGTTTTCTTCGCTAGGAGCCTGTTGTGCCAGGTCATCTCCCACGTAGATTCACCAGTAATGAGGTGGCCAGGGGGATGATGCCCCTGCCCGATGCCACTCTGTCCTGTGGGCAGTAGTGAGGATGGTATGTGGAAGCTTTCTAAATGGAAACAAAGACTTCCTAGCCTGGGGCAACAATCTTTAAGGCATTAGTTAGAAACTCATTGTGTATTAACACTCTGCAAAATACATCTTTAATTAAACTGTGAAGCAAGGTTTGGAGATTCTTTTGAAAAATGTTTTCATTTCAAATCTCGGTTGGATTGCTGCACTGAAATGCTACATCCAGACTTTCCTAAACTTCTGTTGTAGGAGGGATCCTGATCTGAGAAACGAGATGCAACAGCAGCTACCTACAAAAGTGAGTGTCTGTGTGTTTCCCCCACAGAGAGAATAAGATGCTTTTTAAAGGTTTGGTGCTTGATGAAATTTATTCTGCTTTTGGAGTATAAATCATGGCATCATGACAGAGGATGAATGCCTATGACAGAATAATTTCACGCTGGCTGTTTTGTGTTAATATTTGTTTGAGACCACAGACTCAAATAGTTCCTATCTGTAAAGAAAACTTGTACTAAAGCCGATCTGAAACTTTGACAAGTAATCCTAAAGGTCATTGATTTTTGGCCAGGAGGTCTTTCTAGGAAGTATAATTTGGGTTCTTTAGCGGGAAGAGTATTACTGTATTATTGAGTTAGCAGAAATGGTGACTGTACTTTTGTGGTTTGAACAAGCAGGTGTATTGCTGTTCCTGTGAATCAGTGTACTAAGCATCTTTAGATGTGAATGTAACAGGGCTTCTATATTGCAAATAATGTATGGACCTGTGCTGCAAAGCCAGGCTGAGCTGGAGGGCTCTGATAAGTACTGAGGACAGTTTCAGTTGCAGCAGTCACGATGGCAAACTTCTGAAGCCAGGCAGTAAGTGCTGTACTCGGCTTTAGCAGGAAAGCATCCAGCTGGGGGGTGTCTGTGTGCCCCCTGGGGTCTAAGGGAAGGCCCCACCACCGCTTGTCTAACTACAGGACAGCAAACACAGTCTTCAAACACAAACCCAAGTTTTCTTGCCGTTGCCGATGTCTGGGCTTTGCTGGCAAACCCCAGCAGTGGTGTGTGGTGGCCTGGCTGCACCGGGCAGGGGGTGAGGTCTCGTGTAGCTGTGCTGGCGGGGATGGGCAGCTGGTGTGGGGACCTGTGTCCCACAGCTGCCTTCTTCCTTCCCCGTTTTATCTGGGGGGAAGCCGCTCATCTTGCAGGTTTCTGGAAAGCAAGCCAAGCCCAAATTACGTATGTGCACTCAGGTGAGGTAAAAATCCCAGTTTTCCTGAGCAGCACCTTGAAGGAAGTGTCTTGTCTTGTGCAAGTAGGTAGAATTGTTCATTGTAATTGTGAAATCATTAGGTTTACTGGAAGAATAATAGTACCCTCTAGCCAAGGAGACTGGTATTGCAGAAAAACCGGTCTTCATGTTAAAACTACAGCTGCACAATAAATCTGCTAGCAGGTAAGATCAGGGGCTACCACAATTATTCTCTTCCTTAGAAGAAAGCCTCAGATAACTTCTGACTTAGCAAAGTATTATTTGGCTTGAGGGCCGATTTAGACCGAGTATGTAACCTAGATATAAAATTGTGTACTAGGAGGTATCTTTCCCTGAGCATGTTAAGATTCTGTAAAATTTAACTGCCTTATGAAATACAATTGGTTGTGAAGGACTTCTGTTTCATATAGGCCGCTTCTTACTGGCTGTGAGGACCAATTCTTTACCACCACCTTTTAAGGTCATATACCATATACTACAGCAATCACAGCAGCGGTTTCTGTGGAAACCACTGTGCAATATGAGCCACTGTAAGGGATGCAGGAAGATGAAGAAAAATCACTTAGCCCACTCTCTTGTTCACTTCATGCTCCACTGCTTATCTCTTATTTACTTATCTCCTGCCAATAGGCATCACTCTACAAACAGTACCAGCAGCTCCTATTTCTCTAGTGACTATTCCTGTAGCAATAACGATGTTCCAGCTGTTCTGCAGGCTTTCAGCCCTTTGTAGAAAAGGGGCTCCCAGTGAAAAAATCCCTGGGAATACAAACAGATACACCGAGACCTGCTAATCTGCCATTAGTTAACAGCTGGCACTTCAAACCTGATGAGAGTCTGAACTGATCCAGAATGTCCTTGCTGCAGGCAACCTTAGCTGTCAGAGTAAAGCGGTTCTTGCATAGCTGGGTCCACATTAAGTCGCTACACCAAGCTTCTCTCCTGAGCTCAAAATAGGCAGTAGCTCTTATTTAAGCACAACTCCAGTACAGGAGTCTGGCTAATTCGGAGGTACTGGACTTCTACCTACCAGGGCTGGTAACATGTCTTAAGTCTGCAGTAGCTGGGCAGAAGACAAGTATTTTGCTGTTGCCTGCTGGTCATCCCTGACTGACTCCATCAGCCGTGGGTCTAGGAACTGGGCAGGGCTGCCAAAAGAAGAGATGTGAGGGTAGTAACCCAAGGAGGCTTGGGCACATACAGTCAGCTAGGCTACCCTTCTCCTTAGCTGCAATTTGTACCTCTACGGCTAGCAAGTCATGATTTAAAAAAAAAAAACAAAAAAAAACCCAAACAAACAAAAAAAAACCAACCACAAAAAAACCCCAAAACCTTGGCCAAACCAGGCCAAGATGGCCTTTGTTAGGTGGTCAGAAAAAAACGCAACGTGCCTAAGTGAAAGGTAGTGTTTCAAGAAGACCTGGCAGCACACCTGCACACATGCCTGCATGAACATATGGAATGGGAGAGGGAGCGACACGGGTGCTGTGTGAGAGGGAGTGCTACAACAGTTTTAAAAACATGACAGATGTTGTTATCTAAGTTTTCCAACTCATACTTGTCTTTGGTTTTGTGACCTTGTAGAGATGTCCTCTGAAAGAGAGCAATATGGTTTCCCGCTACAAGAAGGAGTTCCTGGAACTAGAAAAAATTGGTGTGGGGGAATTTGGCTCTGTCTACAAGTGCATCAAACGCCTAGATGGATGTGTTTATGCCATCAAACGCTCCAAAAGGCCTCTGGCAGGATCCTCGGATGAGTGAGTGTGCTAGTTGGAAACTGACAGTTGAAATGATGGGCATGTTCTCGAGAGGTGTGATAGGGAAGGAGGGAGTGTGGATCTAAAGGTATCTGAGGGGTGGCATGAGCAAAAACTGGCTGCTGTTGCACTCCCAAGTAACAGTTGGGAGAGTGGGGGAAGTTACCACTTTAGAACTATTGGATATAAATGTCTGAGAAAGGGAAGAAGTCATGTGCATTGCAGACTGAGAGGACAGCTTACCTGAACTCCTTGGGTCTATGCAGCCAGTCTCTTTAAAATAACAACTGCCATAGTTAATTTGTGGTATGTTCCTGCCCTGCTGTACAGCTAGCACTGCTTTAGCATGCGGGACAACACTAGCTGGTCAATACAGATGTGAGCAGATTCTTTGAAAGCTGCCTTTGTCCCTAACAAAAGTCTTGCTCAATGATACTTTTTTTTTTTTTTTTTTTTGGATAGCTGCTCAGCACATTTGAGCAGGGATGGGTTTGGCTTTAGCAGCTGTGCGAGCCGGTTTGTCTTGCCAAAACACAAGAGAAAGTCCTCAGTACCTCTGCTTTCCCTTTCTCAAACCAGGGCTCCTCTCGGGGTCCCAAGCAGGACCCTGGCACTGTCACCACTGCTTCTTCTGTGCATCCTTCTTCTAGGCAGCTGGCACTGCGCGAGGTTTACGCTCACGCTGTCCTTGGGCACCACCCCCACGTTGTGCGCTACTACTCGGCCTGGGCAGAGGACGATCACATGATTATCCAAAATGAACACTGCAACGGTAAGAGCCGTGACGTTGTTAAATGCTGGGATCTCAGGGTGAGTGCCTTTGCCTTCTTTTGCACTTAAACATGGGGTGTTTTGGCTTACAACAGAGCAAACTGCACTGGCCCTGCGGTTCCATGGAGAATCCAGTAAGGGCTCCTAATCTTTAGACAAAGCTCTGAATGGTGCCAGTGTCTCACAAGTAGTGAATACCCTCAAATTGGGGGGATTTTAAAAGGGTTTCTCTGTCGGCTGGCCTGGAAAAGTATTACTCATGTCAATGCCTAGAGCTGCATGTGGGACTGCCCGGGTAAAACCTGATATGAGTGACTCAAAAGCAATGAAGTGCCACACATCTTGGAAAAAAACCCTTCCTAAGGAAGGGGAGTAGTGATTTGAAGAGTAGCTACGTGGTTGGGATGAGAGCACCTTGCATCTCGGCTGGAAGAAAGGGCTCCACAGTTGCAGAGGAATGGAGCTAAATAATGGGGTGGTACAGGCACAGTGGTGCGCTCCTACTTGAGTTTGCCCTTGGGCATACCACTGTTTGGGAGACTTTGGAAAAGCGGCTACCAGAGGAGCTGAAGGCAAACACGTAGCCCTCATCCTTCAACTGCTGCTGCAGTCCTGGGGCTCGATAATGAGTGGTGATAGCTCTCTGGAGTAACGACTTCAGATCTGGTGGAGGTAACCGTGAAATGTGGTGGTCGTTGCTCCAGCGTTGATGCATTGCTTGCATTGTAGTGGATGAACACCTCAGACTAAAGAAGTGGTGAAAAGTAGGCTGACGGGGAGAGAGGCCATGGTATTTGCTGGTCCTGAAATAGCTGGAGTGCTTTAATGGAGACCCACAAAACCCTGTTTGTGTATCAAATGCTAGTCTCCAATCAACAACCTGCTAGCGGGAGCTTAATGTCCTTGCTCCACCATTCGTATACCTGCTCTCTGCCTGTAAGCATGGGAAAAGTAATTGACTTTTCCACTGTTTACTTGCAGCAGCATCGCTACCACATCAGCCCTTCTGGTGCTGTAGGCAGAGCTGCAGTTGCTCAGCCCTTGGCAAGCAGGAGGCAGGGCGCTCCAAGGCAGTGGGAAGGCTGAAGCCAAATGAAGATGTTCAAGTTGGATCACTAGAGCGTATATTGCTGGTCCAGTTGGGGTTTGTCACTAACAAGCCTGCAAGTGCTGTGGGCAATAGTTTCTATTAAGCTATTTCAAACACGCTGCTCCATAAAATCTGCCAGGTCTCGGACTGACTGTTTTCACCTAGGTGGGAGTCTCCAAGATGTGCTGCTGGAAAATGAAAAGCTTGGCCAGTATTTCCTAGAAGCAGAGCTTAAAGAAATACTGTTACAAGTATCCATGGGCCTAAAATACATCCACAACTCTGGCCTTGTGCACCTGGATATCAAACCCAGTAAGTATAGTGCTCCCCTCTTTTGTGGAGGGTTCTCCAAGTGACCCTCCAAGGGTAGAACCTGCAATATGTCCTTCTGACTGGACCTATTACAGGGCTGTAAAGGAAAGAGGATCTTGCCCTAAAAGGTCAAAGTCTTGTGTGGTTTTTTTGTTTTATTTTTTTTTAATCTTGCCACTACTGCTGCTCTAAAACTGAGCCTTCTCATACAGTTGGCAGAATTTTACTTCTGTCTCATGACAGTCATAATCCAGGCTCATGGGAATCACTTTCATACTGGTGGAGCAAGTAGGGCTGTTAATGAAGATGGGGACTTCCTTATTTGCCGCTGTCTTGTTGCACAACACTTGACCTTTGTATGTGAGAGCCGGAGTGAGAAGGGAATATTTATTGTACCTACTCCGAGGGATTAAGTTCCCACAAAAAATAGCAACAAGCTTTTCCTCTCTGCAGCTGAGGATGGGCACCCCCAGGGCAATGCTCCCCCCCTGCCCCACGGTCACGCAGTTATGTCCTTATAGCAGGGCTCCTCTTTCCTGCCAAAATCTTGCTTCTAGCCAGGGGGCAGAGGGAGGGGTGGATAAATCGATTACACTGGGATATTGTACGCACAAGATACAACTGTCTTCTGCCAGCTGCATTACTGAATATGCAAGCTGGGCAGAACGCAGACTAATGGGTGGGAAGCATGTGCAGAATTTCTCTGGCTTAGCTAGCTTGACGGGTGGGATTTCGACGAAGTTGTCTGGCTACCGATACCACAGCACTGCTAAACTTCACTGTCTTGCAGGTAATATCTTCATCTGTCACAAGCTGGCAGTTGCAGGCCCTGCTGGGCAGGAAGAGAGTGACAGCGAAGATGAGTTATCTTCTGGTGTGGTGTATAAGATTGGTAGGTTTTAGCCCACTTTGTAACCAATTTAAGATTAGGGCTGCTCATTACTGCTCGATACTGCTCTGTCCTGCTGGCTGAAGAGACCCGGATACAAAACGGATGACACAGTCCTGTTTCCCAGCTCAGATTTCTGGGTAGGAGCAAGCTTGCTCTCCTACTCAGTATTTCCTGATTGCTCTCTCGGTGCCTATAAAATGCAGGCTTTTACTGCTGGAGATCTACCTCAGTTTGCTCCATTAGCTGCATGTTCTTTGTCTCAGGTGACCTTGGCCATGTAACGTCAATAACAAACCCTCAGGTGGAGGAAGGAGACAGACGGTTTTTGGCCAATGAGATTCTGCAAGAGGTACGGCTGCTGGCGGGGCGGTGGGGAGAACAGGGTGGTGAGCGAGTGGGGGGAGGATCAACTGTAGTGAAATCATTGGACTGGCATATTCCTTGCCTCACCTCCTCTCTCTTGTGTCTGGTCTGGGTGTGAAATCAACAAAATTAACGTTTTATTAGGAATAGTGTAGGCATGGGTATTGTCAGGCAAGTGTTTAACATACTTTATCATTATTCTACCTGTGAGGGATGAATGGGATGAAGCCTTTATCAGTTTGCAGGCATTTTGTTTATACACCTACCTGAGATTAAACTGCTGGATGTGATTACTGAGGAATATATTCACCCAGACAAATACCTTTTACAAGCACCGAACGGGTAGTGTGGAGGGGTGGGAGGGACAACATACCTCTTAAACCGACTACAGTTTTGCCACTCTGGCCAGCGAACAGAAAGGGAATCGGTATGTAACAACCAGCTTGGATGTGTTCATCGACTTGGGTATTTAAGCGACACTACCTTTCTGTGCTGGAAGTGGATTTAGGAACTGTTGGGTCAATATATCACATGCAGTCTTTAGTTTGAGTTGGGCATGGCTAGCTTACTGCCTTGTGGTGAAGGCTGGAGGTGCACGTATTTTAGGCCATGCTCTGGATTTGCTGCGGTGATCCTAATGTGAGCTGCAAGCTCCGTGTGACTGGGTGAAAGCCAACGTGCTATTAATTACCAATACCACCTGCTATCGAGGTTTTTATCCTGAAGAGGAGAAAATGGCTGACTGGGATGGTGAAGGCAGTGCCATACATATACTTGTTTGGCAGTTTCTTTTTGAGCTGGTATCCCAACCCACCGTTGTTCAGTATGGCAAGACGCTCCCTTTCTATAACTGTTTATCTTCTCTCTGCAGCAATACTGCTATTTGCCGAAGGCAGACATCTTTGCCCTGGCACTCACAGTAGCTTTAGCGGCAGGCACGGCACCGCTGCCTCACAACGGGGCCATGTGGCACCACATCCGCAAAGGCAATATCCCACCGATCCCCCAGAAGCTTCCTCATTGCTTTCTTGAACTCCTCAAGGTGAGGAAGTAGTCCTGACGGGATGGAGGCTTTTCCAGTTGGCATGTGACAGAGGGGTTAAACACTGAGCTCCTTTGACTTTCTAGCTCATGATCCATCCTGACCCAGTGGAAAGACCTTCTGCCACGGCTCTTACTAAACATCCAGTTCTCTGTCCTTCACGTGGAAAAGCTGTGCAGCTCCAGAAGCAACTAAATGTGGAGAAGTGCAAGACTGCCATGCTGGAAAGGTAGGACTGGCTTGGGCACGAAGGGGAGGAGGCATGGGTGCAACAAGTGCTGGTCACTCAGGCTTGAATGTAGGGTGGTAGTGCTGGGAGACCCAATGTGCAGAAAACCCCAGTCAGCTCCTGTGTGTGGGGCTGGGAGGGTGGCGGGGCTGTAGCAGGGACTTGTGGTGCCTGAGCAGCTGTGGTTCACTTCTGGCTTTGAGGAGTTAGCTACGTTAGAGTAGGGAGCTTGCATGCTTACTGTAACCACTGGTGATGGAAAATACTGCCACAATATGCAGCCAGTGGGCAGGTGAGGAATTGATACTGCACTGGGGTAGTGGTCTAGTGATGAAGGAAGAGGAGTATCAGGTGGTGGCAGACATCATCTTTCCCCTTGGTCCCTCTCACTGCTGTTGACAGTAATGTTTTGAGGTGCTGGGATCTAGGAAGTGCCCCAGCACCCCGCTTAGTGCAACAGTCAGCTGAGGAATAGGTTTTCCATGTAGGCAGGAGAGCGTATGCTCGGGGAGAGCAGCAAGTATCAGGGGGCAAAAAAGGCAATGGAAAATAAGCATGTGCCTTCATCAGGTATTTGTGCTGCATGAGTGGCACCGATCGAAGTCCCACCAAGACAAATATCTGAAACAACGGGGGAAAAACTGAGCTAGGGACTCCTCATACTGGTGCCAGTCTAGGTGTGTGGCGCTGACCTGATGCATAAGTTTCTTTGGTAAACCTTCCAAGCTGATCTGTTCTCAATTAGAAACTCTAGAGAAACCTACAGTAATCTTCATGTCACTCTCTAGGGTCAAAAGTCATCACTCTGCAGCAATGCTGGAGTGCTGCAGTAACCTTCTCGTGCAAGATTGTTCATAGTTTTCTTCTGTAGCTGATGGGGATTCATGCGTGATGTGGTTTTCTTCCTCTGCTCTTCCTTCCGTCTCCCCTCTGCAGGGAACTTAAAGCAGCCCGCCTTGCCCAGACCCTCATGAAGGACCAGCCCTTAGGAAGTGCCAAGTTGCAAGAGTCTGAAACCTCTTCTAAGCAGAGCAGCAAACGCCTGGTGGGAGGGAAGAGCTGTCGCTCATTTAGCTTTACTTTGGGTTATTGAATCACCGTGTTGTCCAAAAAGCTTTGGTGGCTGAATGGCCCTGTGAAAGCAGAGGGTTTGCACAGACCAGTGCCCCATATTAGCTCTCCCTGTCGTGGTTTTTGGTTCCCTTATTAGTTATGATTTAGATGTTGGCTGAGGGAATAATGACTAGCTTACAAGTGCCAGATCATGGGATTTGAGATGATTGTCCTCAGTCTTACCTGTTTAAGTTCTCGTGCAACTGGTCTTGTTCTAGATTCAGAATAGCTTTGCCATACGAGGGAAAGGATGGAATTTCCTCTACTCGCTTCCCTCTCTGTTTTTACTGATGATGTTTTTGTGATCTTAACACTTGGCCACCTGCATATCTTTAGAGGGGAGACAACGGCTGTACATGGAGACAGCATCTACAGCTGGGTCATCTTAGAAACGAGGTGGTAGAGACTGTGATAGACAGGTAGTTGGTTTTGGGTTGGTTGTTTTGTGTTTTTTTTTTTATCTACACACCAGGAGGCAGGCTGGTTACATAGCAGTCCGGTAGAATTGGGATGCAATTAGCGTGGCGTTTTGCTGAGGACAAAGAGAACACTGAGTTAAGGGGGCCTTTTCTTGTGGAAGGAAAACTTCCCCACCTTGTGACAGCAAGCAACAGTATCATGTAACTGATGTGGTTAAGCTTTTGCAGACCTAGTCCCTGGTGCCTGACTTTTGTCCCTCAGCAAGGACTCGGTTAAAGCCTTGGGGGGGGAAATGGCTGTGGTGGGTCTGCGTGCCCACCTCCCCCCCAGCACCCCACGGGCGGTGCAGCTGCCTGCCTGCGGCCTTTTGGCAACGAGGAGGGAAATCACCAAGGGCTTTTTGTGCGCCTTGTCAGGTTGTTGTGTGTATTTTTTTTTTTTTTTTTCCTGGAGTTGCCCATGTGAAGTGTGTATGTATTTAGGCAATCTCAACCCCCTGCTTAATGTAATTTCCTGAATCCTTGCTGGCTGTGTGTCTAGCTGTGATAGGTGGGCACAGATGTTGTACTGTTATGAGGGAGAGCGTGTTATTACTCTTGGGTTTTAACTGAAGTTTTGTTTTCAAGCGTTGGACAGTGCCGGTTTTTAAAACTGTTAGATACTACCCTTTAAGAAGCGAAACGCGCAAATAAAGATTTTAATCCTTTTTACCTACGACGGAGTGCCTTTTTCTTCCTCCCCGCCCCCCTTCGGAACTCGGGAGACCCCAATCCCCCGTGGGGGGTCAGCGTGTCCGTGGGAGGCGCAGGCCCCACGCCAGGCCGCGCCGCTGCCGCCCCTCTCCCCACAGGCCCGTGCGCCGCCCTCTCCCTTCCCCCCCCCCCTCCCCGGGGCCCCAGCAGAACCGCCGGCGGGGGGAAACGCGTCGCGCTTTCCCCCCGGACCCTCTTTTAGGCAGGACCCGTCGCTTCCCTTCCGTTTCCGGTTGGCTGCGGGCATTGCGGCGGGAGAGGTGCGGCGGGGCCGGGAGGGTTTGTTTGTGGTAAAAAAAAAAATAAAAAAAAAAAATTAAAACAAACAAACAAACCTTTCCCCCCCCCCCGCGGCGCTGCTTTAGCCCTGCTTTTCCCTCCGCAGGCGCGGTGACGGGATGTTGCGGCGACCGGCATGGCAGGTACGACGGTGGGGGGGGGCGGGGGGGGTGACGGTTTAACGGTTCCCGGAGGGAGCGGCGCGTGGGGCGCCCCCGGGGGGAGCTGGGCCCCGGGGTGCCCGCAGGGCGGTGGGGTGTGTGTGTGTGTGTGTGTGGGGTTGCTAAAAGCCGCCCCGCCGCGGGACGGAGAAGCGGCTCCGGGCGTTTCTCGGCACGCAGTAAGTTCATCATCGCGGGTGGGTGGGTGGGTGGGTGCAGGTTTTTGGCTGCCGGCTCCTCCTGACAGCGTGCGGGGCCCGCAGGAGCGCTCAGCCGGAGCCCGCCGAGCCCGGGCCCCGCCTCCCGCGGGGACCTGCCCTTCCTGCAAAAAAATCAAAAAAAAAAAAAAGGAAGGAAAAAAAAAAAAAAGTGTGAATTGTGCCATGGGCCTGTCAGGTCGCAGGTATTATTTCTGTCATTTCTCAAAAAGTTCGTGGCACTACCCGCGAAGGAGAGGGGTTCTGTTTGCACTCGTGCTCTACAAGAGCGCCAATGTTGGACTGTGGTTACTCAGCGGTTGAAAAAAAAAAATGATGCATTAAAAGGTGTGATTTGTGCCCGGAGTGAGCCTTAGATGATCTGCGTGTGCACCGACGAACCTTACAGACACACCAAACAGCTTTTGTTTTGCAAGCTGCATCTCCTCTAGTTTAACTCCGCTGGGCTGCCAGCCTTGCCTCCCTTTAAGTTTTGCAACCACTCGTTATAAGAGATGAGTTTTTCTTGCAGTTCCTGCGCGTGGGCCTTTTGCAGAGGTGTTCCTGGGCTTTTGTTTCCTCCTTTCTTCTAGGACATGATACGTGCCAGCATCAAGTCAGTTCCTTTTCTTTTTCTCGCTTGTGTTTAGCTGCAGCGCTCCAGTTTTTGTGGCCTTGATTTGCTGTTTGCTTGGGGATGAGGGGTTGTCAGTGCATCACACAGCTTATGGCAGTAGCTAGACATACATTTTGGGCACATCTTGTTAATCTCTCAATTGAAGCAGAAAATTGATGAAACTATCAAAAGTGGGTTTTGTTTGCAAAAACTGAAGCCCAGTCAACTAAACAATCCCTCTGCTTCAAACTTTTCCCCGTCCTATTATGAATTGCACAAAACCAGTAGTTACTGCATGTCCCAAAAATAATTGCTGGAAATGTAGCATGCTTTCTTGCTAAGCAGCTTTTTAACTCCAGTTTAACCCGATATTCTTTGAATAATCCTGTTGGCTTCATTTAGCTGAGCGATTTCTTACCCTATAAGTCACCAGAAAAGAATGTATTTGCAAAACCTCTCTTAAGTGTTCAGAAAACAAGGTGTAAAGGCACGCAAATACTGTTCATATGTTGTGTCTTGAAAACTAATATGTGTCTGTTCCTTCAGGTGCTTCGCCAGTTTGTAAGACATGAGTCTGATACAGTCAGCTCATTGGTACTCGAAAGATGTAAGTAGCTCCTGAGATGAAACTTAGCTGTCACTCTTTGTGGTTTTGATCTCAGTTTTAGAATGGCTGAAATATGCCAGGAGGGAAACGGAGTGGAATGATAACTCCTGAAAGCAGTAACTAAGGATGTGCTGTTTCAAAGAAGCAGACTCTTAAGTAGCTTCCTGTCTGGTCTTTGTCAAGTCAAGCAGCGCACAAGGGGGGGAAAGAAAAAAAATCCCTGATGTGGAGTACAACCCGTCGAAGGCGGGTAGTCGTGCTTTGTAAGTGGCAATGAATCGAGCACGCTGTTGTCATGGTTACTAGTCCCTGACCTCCTCCGGTTGTCCTTGCACAAGGAGAAGGAATAAATTGTGTCCACTTAGTCCTGGTACTTCTGTCAAAACTAGTGACCCTCTAGCTCAGAGGAGAGGTTATAATAATGTAACTTTGTTTGAACGTTACTGTTTTAAGGACAAAACAATGTAATGCTATAGCTTTATCACAATAAAAAAAATAAAAGTCAAGGTAAGTAAATGCACAATAGTCTCAAGTGACATATGGATGCATCTGTGAAGGAGACAAATGAACAGAAAGAATAAAGAAGCTTTAGATTTCTAAGTGAGCTTATTCATCAGTGATAACAGTAGTACAGGCACAGTCAACCATCTGCAGGGCCCGAAGAAGCCAAAAGTCACAAGAGCTTGCGAAACGGTTGAGAGGTGCAGAAAGTCATTGTTCTGGCTCTTGACAAAAGCTGCTGACTTACGACTTGCCATGATTGGAAGCATCCTAATTCACCTGTATGTGTTGTTGCTCTCTGACGTTTCAGCCATGAATCGTGTTCAGTTACTTGGTCGGGTTGGACAGGACCCTATCATGAGGCAAGTGGAGGGAAAAAATCCCGTTACCATATTTTCCCTTGCAACCAACGAGATGTGGCGAACGGGGGAAAGTGAGGTAACCCAAGGAGGTGAGTCTGCAGTGAGCAGCGTGCTTCTGCTGTGTTCTGAGGTTGCGTTGCATGTTCAGTAGCACCCTGCTTTGTCTTCAGGCTGCCGTGTAAATCTCTTGGGTGCAGGGAAGTTCCTTCGAGGTCAGTAGAGATGCTGGCACATTTGTGTGTCTCTTACTGGTCCCCAGCAGCATGTACTGAACAGAGATCTGCCTGTCGACCTTCCTCTGGAGGAGAGGAAAGAGCACTGAGTTGGCCGTTTTTCACTGTTGGGGGGTGCCAGAGGTGTATCAGGTTCCATACTCCTATTTGTATTCCAAGGGGAAAAAAAAACAAAACAAAACAAAAAAAAACCAAAAACAAAAAAACCCCCCAAAACTAACAACAAAAAAAACCCCAAACAAACAAAACAAAACAAAAACAACAACAACAAAAAAAAACACAACAGAAAAAGGGAGATTTTTTTTCTTTGATTCTTCCATCAGTCTGCAGCTACAGATGTCTCTCTTTCTCTGACTTTGTTCAATGTGGGGTGTGTAAGGAGGGGCAAAAAAAAGAAATCCGAAATCTAGTATGAGCACTGGCTTCCAAGAAAACCGATCATTTGGGTTGAAGTGTGCATCTGCATGATACTTTCATTTGGACCCAGATGAGTGGAATGTGAAGTTCTAGTATGGAGTGGAAGATTGCTACATACTTCCATTTTCAAATCGCTTTTCATAATTTGAGAACACCTGCATGTTGAAACTAACTTCTGAGGCTTGCATCAAAAAGAGGATTTGGCATCTAACTTTGTTATTTTTATGTAACTTTAACTTAGGTGATATCAGTCAGAAGACAACATGGCACAGGATCTCTGTCTTCAGACCGGGCCTCAGGGATATTACGTATCAGTATGTGAAGAGGGGGTAAGTGAATAACAAATGTGGTTGAGGATTCAATGCCTTGATAATAGACTGATGTATTAATTACGGTGACCAGGAGCTGTACTAAGATAGAAGCGCCATAAAATAAGTTAGCAGACCTGCTACAAACAACTGATGCAAAAGCCTGTGTGTTCATAATCAGGTACAGAGGAGAAAGCAGCAGTACAGTTCTCTGACCAGAACGAAATTCTTGATAATTTTTTTTTTTTTCTTCAGTGCTCGACTCTATGTTGAAGGGAAGATAGACTATGGTGAATATACAGATAAAAACAATGTGAGGCGACAGGCTACAACGATTATAGCAGGTAAGGAGCAACATAGCGAGGCCTACCTTGCCCTTTTAAAATGGAGAGGGAGCGGAGGACCTTTGAAACAGAGCTTGGTTTGTCTTCATCCTCAGTTATCCCCACTTGGGGTTTTTGCGAGAATTAATAGGCTGTGCCACTAGATGTCCTCTGGCACTGCTTGTGAAGACACAGCAGATGAGAGCATGTAGTTGCAAACTGTTGCATCATTTGCTCGCACAAACCAGTTGGTGCAGGAGGTAGATACTGTGTGTTTGAGGACAGAGGTATGTAGTACTGCCACGTCGGGTAGATGCCTTTCCTAAGCAGAATTTGTTTAGTTGCTTCGTCTCAGTTTGGCAGGGACTTTTTGCTTCCTGTTTAAGACTGGAGGCTTCACCAACTTTAAGGACCTCTGGGAAAAATGTTTTATGTGGGCATAACTTGATGGAGAATTTAGAAAGACCTCAGTCTGGTAGCCAGCAGTGATAAGAAGAGCACAGAACCCATAGGGCGTAGACTTCTCCCTTGGGTAGACGTAATGAAGAAGAGAACTCGGAAACTCAGCTTTTTCCTTGAGCCTTTAAATAGGATGAGCATCCTTCATCTTCACTATCTTGTGGTTTTTGAGAGAGGGCTAAAATAATTGGGTAGTAGAGCAAAAATTTCTGTTACAGAAGTATATCTTAAAAATTGGGCCAGAGAAGGAAAAAAAAAAAATCTAACCCCAATTCTTGATGTTTCTGCTGTGTAGCTTCTTTAAAACAACAGTAATCGAACTTTGCGTGAACAGTTCAGCTAGCAGTGCTGTAGGTTGCTGTTTATCAATAGCTAGAGGGGAGAAGTATCTTTTCTTTTCGTATTTATCCTAATGGTTTACTCTGTGTTCAATATCCCCAGTCTCAAGGCGCTTTAGAAATTACTGAGGCTTGATCAAATCCCAGCTTCCTGTAGTCCC